TGGTAGTTGTAGTGGTAGTGGCAGTGGTAGTCGCAGTTTGGTGGTGGTAGTGGTAGTGGTAGTGGTAGTGGTAGTGGTAGTGGTAGTGGTAGTGGTAGTGGTAGTGGTAGTGGTAGTGGTAGTGGTAGTGGTGGTAGTGGCAGTGGCAGTGGTAGTTGTAGTGGCAGTGGTAGTCGCAGTTTGGTGGTGGTAGTGGTGGTGGTGGTGGTTGTAGTCGTAGGAGGAGGAGGACGAAGAGGAGGAGGAGTAGTAGTAGTAGTGGTAGTGGTAGTAATAATAGTACATCAACAAATAGCAACAGCAAAGTGCAGAGGAATTGAGCCACATTATGAGGCACACTGCAAATCTCTCAAAATATACCAAGAGGTAGTCCCCAGTAGTAGGTTTCGCTGCAAGCTGCAAGATGTTGTGAGATGCATGTACCCTAAACCCTGGGTAAACCCTTAACCCTAAACCAATTGGTGCTGGGGCCTCTGGAGCCACACGGAGCGGAGACTCTGTATCTTCTGCCTGGGCTGGGCGCACTGCCGGAAGCTCTGCGGACGCTAGGGTCTTTATCAGGTTTAGAACCCTAAACCCTAAACCCTAAACCCTAAAGTCTAGGGTCCCCAAACTCAACCAAACCCCAGATCTCAGCTACGCAACCGAATGGAAGGCCCGAAGGCCCGAAGTCCGAACCAAAGACTTTTGCAGGCCGTTTACGCCGGAGAAGGCTGCGAAGGAGCTGAGGGGAAGCCGCCGCCGCTGTGAATAGGTCTCCTTAGCCCACAGCTTCATACTTAGAGCAATTCCCAAGTTCAGAGGCAGCTTGAGTTGAGTTCATGAGTACAACGGGGAGGCAGGGAGAAACAAGAAGTCACAGAACATGGATTGCAAAACGATACCCACATAGCCCGACCTGTACAAGATGCAAAGTGAAGAAGCAGATCAGAACATGTGAAGCAGAGCATTCACCATCTCTTGGCGAGCGGATGCAGATGCGGCAGCTGACAAACGTTCGCGAGCGAATGTGTGAGGCTTCCGCTGCAGACAGAATCAGATAGCCTTGTTCTGTTCTTATGAGAAGACCCAAGGACAGACTTGCTGATATACTTCTTGATTACAAACACGCTCCGGATTTGCGGCACCGCTTCGCCAACTGGTGCCCTACACTCTCCGCGGTGTGATGAGAGTGATATTGTTCTTGCGTCGAATATCTTGTATCCCGAAACAACACCCTTAAACCCTAAGCCCTACCACCCTACACCATACGCTTGCTGCCAGGCGGCTGAGAGCCAACTCGGCTGCACAAAGATGCTGCGGAGCTCGGGCGTCCACTTCTCTACGCATCCTTCCAGAGATCCTTGCCTCGTCTCGTCCTTCTCCTGAGCATGATATTGTATAGTATAGTATAGTAGAAAGTATCTAGTATAACAAAATACAGTATAATATGGTCGTCCATGGATGTTCTGCAAGAGACAACTCGATTCCCCTAGCAAAGCCAGTGCAGCTCAGAGGCCACCACCACCGCCCGGGTTTGGCCTTCCGAGGATGCCTGGCGCACAGAACTGTGCACGGGCGGCTTCGGTGAAAGGCATCTTCGCTTTGGTGGGGGGACAAGAAGCCCGCAGAGTAGCGATGACCCTCCGTACACACGGGCGCATCAACATGTTTAGACAGGAAGATGCCTTAACTGCACACGGAGACCCGAAACCTGGAGCAGGGACCGCAGCTCCGCGGGCGTTCTCCAGGTCCGCACCGAGGTGGCCCCCAGCTCCTGACGAGCACCCAAGGTCCGAGGCATTCGGCCGAGTTGGCATAGCCTAACTTTCGGGGGCCTTGCGGTTTTCCGGGCATTTCCAGACATCAAAAACCACGGGGTGTTGAGACGGCTGCGGAACGCCCTCGGAAGAAGCCTGGCCTTGGCCATCTGCGTCAGCTTCGGCTCCACACCTGCAGGGCTGAAGTCTCGGGGCATTTGGGAGTTTCCGAAATAAGGGGTACCTTATTTTGGGGTCCTTATAATAAGGACCCTACTATTTAGGGTACTATATTAGGGTCCCCTATTTTCGGAAACCCCCATTTCGGGGTCTCAAAGCGGCAGGGGACGGCCGAGCTGTTTGAGAAGAGCGGAAACCACGAGACCGCGCCTAGGGCCCAGGGAGACACCAGGATGTCGCACTTGGCAAGGACGGTGGCGGCGACACCTGGTCTCTTCGGCACAGGGTCCTTTGGACTTCGGGGTGTTGAGGTTCCTGAAGGTGGTAATGCACAGAAGCAGGAAGGGTCCTGGGAGGCTTTGCCCAAACCTATGAGTCCCTTCCCGTTCAGGGTGACCCTACTTTCTCGCTGATCCGCAGTTTCAGACAAGTACTCGTGTTCCCTGATCCTTACAACCCTCAGCCCTCAGAATTCCAAACGGCCCCTAAGCCCCTACAGTAACCGCCCTCTTTAAGGAAGCCCAAGGTGCAGGGGCTCGCCTTGGTAACGGCATCTTCCAGCAAGGGCTCGCTTTGCGTGGGCAACGGCGCGGCGTCTCCTGGGCTTTCGGGGGACTGCCATGGAGGGCCGTTGGGAGATTGCCCATAACCACAAGGGTTCCTTTCAGGGATCCCTCCAGGAACCCGGAACCCTACAGAAGGCTCAGTCACAAGGAGTACTGCGAGCCCTAGAACGGAAAGTCCCGGAGCTGGCTTGCGACGAGGCGCTCATGCTGTAGCGCGCTTCTGGCTGTCGGCTGCCGTGCCGATTGCAGTCCAGCAACCAGTGCACGGCCACCTGAAAGCCATGGAAGACCATCGAAGCTCAAAAGAAATTCGCGAAATAGCTCCCAGAATTCAGCATGTTCACAGATGAGCGATGCCCTGTGGGCGCCTTACACTCGCAGGAACCACAACCCGGGAGCATCAGACGTATAGCCAAACCCCGCACTGCTTGGTAAAGTCTGGAAACTATGTGGATCTGCCGCTTCCGAGCTTTCTCTGCCAGGCCAGCTTCCAAGCGATCCGGAACCACACCTCGGGAAGGCGCTACGCTTTGCAATCCCAAACCCTGGAGGCCTTTTCAAAACCTGAAACCTGAAACCTTTAAAAGCAGCCCTGACCCATTCCGGTTCGCGGGTTCGGGAATCGCTCCCATTCTGTTCTTTTGGTGGTTCACTTTCCAATGGCTCCTGGCCAACCCGGTCAGACGAAATGTCTGTCATAGCTGCCAGAACCGGGAACTATATCCAGAGCAAGCCCTCACTTGTAGAGACCTGTGCTGACCAAACTATGCTTTGAAACCCAAACCCAACCGGTAACACTACAACTTTAACACGAAGCACAAGATTTTTCATCCCACCGTCTCGGCCTCTGGAGACACTTTTGGTGGCACGCAAAAGGCAGGATGTCGAGGACAGGACCCGAGTATGGAGTTTCGACCCTGCCCTACCACACACAGGAGCTCCTGATTGGGCTGCTTTTCTTGGGGAATGTGCTTGCAATGCTGGTCTTGAAGGCTTTAGGGCAGCAAAGCTCAGGCGGCTGAAGCAGGGAGAAGCGGCACAGGCAGCCAGGTGACACACGAAGTGCGTAATGTCCGCGAGACGGCTCCGTTGATCCGCGACAGTGGCGCCCAGGCCGTGTGCCATCTCCTGAAGTGCTATCCCTCACGGAGAGTGGGGATGTTTTGAACCTGAACCTCTCGATCAATCTCAAGCCCCACATATTGTCTCCGTGCCCCGTGCCGCGGACAACAAAACTTGCACCAAGTCCTCGAAGCGCTGATACGGCACTGTTACATGAACGCTAGGGTGCCCTGGTTGGCTTATCTTGCCCTGCCTGAAGGCGCTGCCGTTCCCGGCAGCTCTGCTTGGAGTCGTCCAAGGCCGTGATGCGGACGGTGAGGCCGGACCTGCTGGTTGAGGGCTCGCCACACTGCTCCTCCTACGATCAGACTATCAGTCATTACAGCTACCTGTGGCGTCTTCAGCGTTGCTGTTCGTATCAGACGGGAAGCTCACAATGCTCCAGCCCTCTCAGGGAGCCGAGCGGCAGCGGAGGCTTCAGCCCACCTCTGATCTCCGGTTGGGCGGCGGCCGGGGCCTGGCCCGAGGCTTCAGGACAAGAGATGTTAGACCCTAAGGGCTGGGGCCTTAAGCTGTAAGATGCAAGTACTGCAGCTTTGCCTCGTAAGCTGTGGGTCTTGCAGGGTTGGAGGGCTCCTACCAGCAGGGGTGTGCATGTTGAAGACGTCGTTGCCCTTTCACCAGTGACCGAGCAATATCATTGAACGGTCCGGGAACCTGCGCGATTGTAATCATACTGGCAGATTCACAGAAGCAGTATTTTGCAGACATCAAGCGACCAGTGCATACCAGTGCCATGCGGCTAGGAGCACGTTGAAGTGCGAAATGGTGCGCAACTCAACGAGTGCGAAACTCATGCACACCGAGACAATGGTCAGCCGCCCAAACAAGCTCCTTGAGCGAAAAGGCCTGAACACCTGGAGCCCTAACTGCTCAAGTCTATTATCAAGCATGCCTCGACCAGTTGGGTGCTCTTCGTGGTAACTTCCTCGAGGGCAGCGCTGCTCTCGACTCTCCGTACCTGGCATGGAGAAAGGGCAGGATCGTCTCATCTGTGTGAACCAGAGCAAGGCCTTCATGCTGGAGGCGGACAAGTCCGACTGGAGCGCAGCAGGGTAGGCGATATCGCAGGTCGGGTTGTAGGCCACCCGTGGCCTGTGGCGCTCGCGAGGAAACTCTGTGCAGGGAGCACAACCGCTTGGAACCGCGGCCTTGCGAAATGGTTCTCCTCAGCTCGCTTCCCCGTCTCCACGCATGCGTCGAGCCAGCGGACGTCCACAAACTCCACTCCTAGCGCCTGAAAGGAGCTGAGGATGTGAAGTGTCACTGCTGCGAGGACTGTCAGTTCTCCAGGATTCCGTGGACCGCGGCTCAGCCAAACCCGTCGCATCTCTCTAACTGTGAAACACTGTTTGACAGGAGGCTGCATGTCCCCGACCTCATCGACCGGCATCGACACATGCACCAGGACGCGAGGGACGACATCGAATAGAACCTGACGTGAGACAAAGTGCAGAAGAGTCCGCATGCTTTGGGAACATGTGCAGAGACAACACGAACTGCCCGGTCGCCCTAAAAAGCCAGGAGGCGTGGGTGATGGCCGGGTCCTTGGCTTCCAAGGTGGTCCTGCAGCGGCCCGAAAACCCAATGCAGGCCCAGCTTATCGCTCAGAACTGAAACCTTCTTGCATGGCCCAATCTGTGGTGCAGCAATGGCCCCGAACCCTGCATGGCTCGCTCGAAGCCTTGCCAGTTGTTAACTTTGATATCCAACTTCGGCGCTGTCCATGCCCCACAACGCCAGGCCCTTTCGGCTGCGTCATCACGCTCCTTCCCTGCCGGCGTAGCAAGATCCAACGGCTCGAAGACTTTTAAGTCAGACTGGTTGCTGTCTCTGTTGGGCCAGAGGCTTCCAATCCGAATCGAAGCGGGAGTTTTGTACTAGTAAGCGCAGGTTCTGAGTGCAGACATCAGGTCACAGGAACACCCTCAATTGCGCACCGGTTCGTAGCTGACACTTGATGACTTCATACTTGTTAGTTGGAACCGGAGCCAAAAGCATACCCGTGTGCTTTGTTGAACCCCTATCTGCAACGGCTCCCTTTCATTAAAAAAAGTGTAGACATCGCAAGGACCCACACTTGCAAGTCAGACACGATGTACTCACATCCCAGTACTGGCCTGGGGGCAGATACCTGAGTTGACAGTGACGTCGGGCAGCAGCCGGAAGAAGGGACCGCTCAACAGCTGCACTTCGCAGACTTCCTGTTTGTCATTAGAAGTGGGCCCGATCATCGCAGACTCCAGCCCGATTGGACCGACAAAAACCGAAGGAACTGCAGGCTCGTGAGATTGTGGATTCCGGCAAGGGTTGCTGCCAAGTCGCACCAAACATAGTACACAACCGTGCAAGATGGTCGAGACTTCTGCCTGCAAAGCAAAACAGGACTCTAGCACTATAGCCAGCATAAGACTTTTGATTTTAGCAGCAATGTAGCTCTCGTGAAGACAACCTGGCGTCTAACCAACAGAAGCTCGCGGAGTCAGACGGAGGGTTGCTAGTGCAAGCAAAAGTTTTAAAATGCGATTACTCTATGTGCATTGCGTGCGTCCCGACCCTGAACTCAAGAAGAAGCGCGAGCTGAAACCCCCACGCGGCCTCGACGCTCCCGCCCAAGGGGACGCCTGCCTGGGGTACCTGGCGCAGACAGAAATCGAGAAGCAGACTGGGAACCGCTGCCCCAGCTGCAGTCGGTAGAGCATCGTGGAGAATAGGCAGCAGCGACCGCTAAAAGCAACCATCATGAACCACATTACGGACAGTGACCGTAGCTGAAAGCTGAGGAAGAGAAGAGCTCAGCACAGCTTCTGCATTCAATTCAGATCTGATCCAGCTGAGGTAAATGGAAGGTGCGCACGGCCTTGAGAAGTGGAGACAAGGACTCTCGCATGCCCTTTTTGGGTCACGCCTTCACTCCTCGTCCTCTTCGTCGTGATTGTTATCCAGGTGGTCCGAGGTCGACGTCGACGTCGCAAACAGTGGCAGTAGCAGTACCAGCAGCGGCAGCAAGAGTAGCAAAAACAGCGGGAGCAGGAGAAGGAGCAAGAGGAGCAGGAGTAGTTGTTACTTTTGATGCTGCTGCTGCTGCCGCAGCTGCAGCTGCTCTTCTTGTTGCTGCCGTCCACAAGAATACTCGTTGCGGAGTCGCTTGGTATCTGCATCATTGTGACTCGTGACGTTTCCGGGCTTCAGGCATCGCATCTGTGCCTTATCTCCGATAATAGTGACGTCTCAACTCCCTCCGCCCGGCCAACTCCCTCTGCCTCCCTTCCTCCCCAGAAATCCTAAGATCCTGAAACCTAACACCCCCAACACCGACCGCTCCCAGGCAAGAAAGCGCCTCCAGCTCTCCGGCGATGGTCAGGCAGCAGCGGATCTGCAGACACCGCTCGAGCCAGAGCGGGGGCGCACAAAGGAGGCCCAGGGACCGGCCCTCCTCGGAAAGCGGAGGAACGAAATGGCTGACTCTCAAATGGCATTAGGACTAGAAGGGCTACTGCAAAGACTGGGGGTCAGATTGAATGCAATGGGATCAGTCGCTCAGAGGCACGGGATGAAGAATTTCCAACGCGCTCTGGTGTCACACTTCTCTTCACGATCCCGGTTACGACGGCGCCCTTGATCTTGCCCCAACTCTAGATTCTGCCGGGCCTGGTAAATTGGCTTGGAGGCATCCGTCACGATCACTACCTCCGCCTTGTCTAGGGTCGTGATGACAGCCTGGGTTGCAGCTCATAATTCCACACCCCAGCCTCCGTGGCACTAGGTTCCCTGCAAATGTCATCCCGAGCCCGTTTTGCTAAAGCTATATCTTCTATTTCCATCTAACATCACCGGCCTGTAGGTTGGAAACACCTCAACGGGCCTCGACAGGCTGCTCATGTGTAGATCCCTCGAGCACACCGCAAAAATCCTAACGCGCATGAGTGCATAATGCTTCCCTAGTTGATAGCCATGTTCAAGACGAAGCAAAACAGCTAAGAAATGAACAAGTTAAAAAAAAAAAGGAGATTCCGAGCCACACCGGAGGCTTCGGCCCGCTTCCGCAGCTCCGGCGAAACCTGGTCCTGGATTGCCAAAACTGCTCTTGCTAGCATTGTCACTGTAGCATCGATGCGATTGCCAACCCCTGCCTCATCATGCTTACAGTGATTACTGAAGAAGCAAGTTACAAAAGAACACGGTGTTGACCATGGTGAGGGTGACAAGGAAAAAGAAGAAGAAGAAGAGCAGAATTGCGTTGGTGGCGATGGTGCTTGTGACATCATCCTGAGCTCCCCCCTCCCGTGCCTGAATGGGCCCAAAGTTGATAGCCAATCCGGCCAAGGGCGGCAGGAAATGCGGCCTCGAGCCAGGTGGACAGCTCCGAACCCGCCAAGGGCCCTCTACCTGGAGACTCGATTTCATCTTCTCAACCAACTGCGTCACAACAGCCCCCCTAAACCCCTCCAAAAAGAGCCAAGGAGAGAATCCCACAGACTGGAGTCTTTACCATAATAAGGAAACCATATTATTTACTATAGATCCCTATTATGGTAACTTAAATTAAATCCCTTAACAAGAACCCAGAACGCTTTGTAGCACGGCCGCTCTTTGTCCACCAGCTGCTGCTCGTCCCAGAGGGCCTTGACGTAGCTCGGCCTGGCAGCGCGAATCCCGTGGACCACACGTCCGATCGAAGGCCGCGAACTCCCCAAGGCACCCCCAAGGTGCTTTAGGTTTTAGGGTTTAGGGTTTAGGGTTTAGGGTTTAGGGTTTAGGGTTGCCCCAATCGAAAAAGTCCTCATCACCCTGCAAGCACTCGAAGCCCGCCTCACGATGGGCAGTCGCAAGGCCAGCGCTGCCTGGTACTTGGAGTCCGGCCGCAAGCTCACCTGGCGGCTGTAACCCATTGCCGCAAGCCAAGGCATGAGGACGAAGAACAAAAACAATGCGGTGGCGTTGGGTTGTCTGCATTTTTGCACCATGCTGGGGTCGATTCAGGCTTCTTGGCCAGGCAGCGAGTTCTCCGATGCCTGTTATAGGGTTCCGATCTACGCCGTCGGACGTTGAACCCCTACGGAATGAAAGGCTTGCGACGCAAAACCTTGAGTCCTGCTGCAAGGATGCTGTGTTGCAACACGGCCACGACAATCTTGGCTAAACACTCGCAGACAACCTGAAAAACCTTGAAAGCAATGCATGCATCGGTTGTCGAAAGCCCTTTGCAGCTTAAACCCTCATCAGCCCTAGAACTCCAAGCCCCTCCCTAAGCCCTAAGCACTAAACCTCCGGGAGTGCCTTCCGCGCGACCAAGAGCTCTGTGTCCGGTCCGATGTCGTCGGTCACCCGGGCGCCGACCCAGGTGGCGAAGGCCTAGTAGGGCTTCGGGTCCCAGGATTTATAGGATTTATGCGACTGCAAGGGTGGCGGATCGGAATGTGGCGCCCGATTTGGCAGCTTCCTTCTCCTCTTGCTATCAGCGCTTGAGGACAGCTCTCTGCACCTTGAGCTCCCTATCTCTCTTGCTTTGCGTACCTTACAAGTCGACACACGCACAAACTTTTCGAACTGCCCGTGCTGCGTGTACTCTGCTTGCTGGGTCTTTATCCATGGCACACGGTGTGTTTTCGGGGTCTGCCTCTGTCCCAGCGGAACCAAAGCAACTCTCTGCGGCCCCGCGTGGTTTCCGAGCGCCTGGTGGCGAGATCGATCCTCGGGAGCCATGGCCTGGGCAGCACGTGACCGAGAATAGGCGGGGATGAAGTTCGCAGCAAAGTTCGGAGTAATGACAGCAGAATGCAGAACAGCACTGGTTTGGCCTGATTGTGTTTCTCTTTTTTTCTTTCCACAGGGCTGTGGTGCAGGGGTTTCCCCCTACACCGCGCGCGTTAGCGCCCCCGACAGGTGCGGGAGACATTGGACATTGCATGCACACACAACCGAGGCAGTAATCACAGAAAACGGGGAATAGGTCAACAAGAAAGTCGGAATTCTGCCTCGGATGGTGGCCCCAGAAAACACTCCTGGAAATATGGCACTCGGGGGTCGAGACTACAGTCGGCAGGCATCTTAAAGCACAGTAGTTAACAGGGCAAAACTTGCAATCAGAAAGGAAAGCGTAGTTGGTGGCACAGCGGCCCGTCAAGGTAAAAATACACGCTGAGGTGGAGGGGAAACCCCCTCCTTCAATCGGAAGCTGTAGGATTGAGTGGGGTTGGCTCCTGCGGCCCGTCAGGAAAAGGTTTGCACATATGGACATGGGGCATGACCCCTACGTTCAAAGGAATTCATTGGAGAAGCCGGCACTTGTCGTGCCGAGGTGTGCCTGCTGACCCCAAATTAAAGAAGAGAGGAACCTGGAACTAAAGACAAGGCCAAAGCAACCCGAAAGCCCAAAAAAACCCCAGCAAAGCATACTAACACAAAGCCTTCTCGGGTTCCCCCGTTCCATGGCAAGGGAAATCAAAAGTAGATGGGGGTTTCACCCCCAGGCCGGACTGTTCACCGGTGCATGCCTCACTTAAAGCTGCGCTCAGTTCCTCTTCCGGCGACGTTGTCCATCTGGAGACCGCTCTCCGGCCTGTCGCTGCTTCTTCCTTTGGGCTCTGTAGGCGTCTTTACTTTCACGCCTGTATCTCCCCCAGAGGTCCGCGTCGTTCTCGTGGTCCGCCAGGCGGGTTAGTCTCCCCGACTCAAGAAGCTGTTGGAGTCGGCGTCGCTGTCGTGGGGTAAGGGCTGAAGGAGCTCCGGCGGGCTCAGGAGGTCGGAGGGGTTCCCCCTGTTCTGCATCATCACGTTCACCTCCCTCCTCGTTGTCGGGTTGGACTTCCCCGTTGTTCTGTATGTCCTGGTGCTCGTCCACGTCCATGTCCAAGTCCGCTTCCTCCTTGTAGTTGTACAGCTGGTCCAAGTGCCTTGCATCCTCCATCGTAGTTGTGCTCCATCGTCATTGGAGCCGTCTCGGGGGGCTGGAGCAGCAGAAAGCTCCCCCCGGCCACATAAGTTTCATCCTCGAAAACATCCTCTGAGGGGTGGAGTCCCCGCTGCGGCATGGTGGCGTTGTCGTAGCAGGTGGAGGAAGCCCCCTGGTTGTCATCACTCACTGACCCGGCAGTGGTTTGGTGTTCTATAGCATCGTTGGGCCCGGTCTTCATGTTATAGACGTCAGTCGTCTTCTGCTCGGGGTTCCCCCCCTGGTAGAAGGGCTCGTTGTTCGCAAAGTCAAGGAAGTTCTCCCTCGTGTGCTCCGCCGGCGGGTTAGATCCCACGTTCCGCTGGGCTCGCAAAGGGGGGCCTTGTAACGGGACCGCAGGTGCTGCCTTGGCCTCCAAAACGGTCGGTCCCCTTAGTACTCCAGACGACTTCGGCTTGGGCTTGGGCTTGACAGGCGGGGGAAGTACCCATTCTGGCTGTGGTTTCTGTGTTAGGGTCGATTCCCCTGTTTCCGGGCTGGATCGTAGTGGAGCTGAACTGGAAGAGGCTGCAGAGGAGGTTCCCCTAGTCGTAGTCGGCGGTGGCTGCATTAGGAGTGCAGGTGGGCTACCGAGAGCACGAACCGGCGTTCTTCGTGGTGAAGTGGGTGCGCTGGGTTGACTGGCCATGCCAAAGAGTCGCTGCTGTGGGTCCTGAAGGAGCTCCTCCATGTCATCGTCATCTTCATCGCCAGGAGTGACCTCCCGCGGTTTGGGCTCCTCGTAGCGGTGC